TAGCTTTAGCCCGCAACTTCGTCCCGGTAGTGTTTAATAAAAATGTAATTTGTTTTTACTCTCTTGTTCTAGACATAGTATGTGTCAATTCTATCAATAAGATTCGCAATTTTATTTTAAGGAAATTAATTAAATAAAGAATTTCTAATAATGCACTTCAGCGCGCCATCTGGGATTCAACTATTAAACAATAACAATGATTGAATCTCAATGCCAACTTCTATCCTATGAAAAAGGGCTGTCTTTAGGGTTTTCCCGGCAATTATTCAAAATTTTCTTGCCATAAAAACCATCTTTGGATTTTAACAAACATTTAAAAAAAGAATTAGCCAAATTGGCCTGGGCGTTGTTGAGTTATGCGCTTAACAACCGATTTTGCGATTCATTTTTATATTATAGATAGCTTAGGCAATAGTACTTACATCCGGAAAGCTTAACGACAAAAGACGTTCATAATCTTCTTGGCCTGCGGTATCCCATAATTTAACTTCGTATTCTTCGCCATCTAATTTCACAGTTGCGCAATAATTATCAAAACTAAAAGAAAACTCAATAGTTTTATTCGAAATGAGTATATTTACTTAAATAATTCTTAAATGATTATCCGCAAACATTTGCATTGACTTACACTAGTTTTGTATTAGTTATATTGTTAATCGGTGCCTTTAAATGTGTATAAAAGTGGAATGTAAAGTGGCTTCTGAGCGGATAACCGTTTCAGCATTATTTAAACAAAAACTGTTATTATAAAAAATATGTAAATATCAGCAAATAATTTTAATACTTACACTGTAGGAATATATCTTTTTGGATATTCATTTTTTGCATAGACAATCAACATGCAGGTCTTTCCGACGTAGCCATCACCAACGACAGTAAACTTCAAAAACGTTGGTGATTTCTTAGAAGCCCTAAACAAATCAACCAGGATTTTACAAATTAGTGAGTATTGACATCACTCACATTTATGTATTATATTATATGTATATGTAATATATGAGTAGTTTCTGCTAGAGATTAAAACTAAAGCAATTATGGTGTAATACTTACGTCATATTGTTGATAATCAGAACCGTTTCTCCACTAAAACGCCATTTACCAAGAAAGGCGTTCGTTTTTTACAACAACTTTCTGGTTGATGTATTTCTCAGAGAATGTCTATGCTTAACAATTGTGTTTTATCAACAAAACAGATAAATAGATATCTTATCTCATTTGATTCACTTATCAAGAATTCAAACATTTACACCTAAATACCTATATTGATACAAATCGTGATCGAGTTCAGTAAAATTGAATTCACCGATTAGAGTAGAATTGGTTGCCTAATTTGAACCTGATATAATTTATTTGAAACAAATGATAAATGATAGAAATATAATAATAATTTAAATGTGTGCATATATCGTAATTATTATTCTTG